CTGAGGACACGTTTCCATTCATTCCAATACAAATTAAGACAGTTCTTATGGTGATTGTCTCTTTAGCAATTACAGTCTTTCTTCCAGCCCAAGCCTTAGCTATGGCAATGAGTTTGTCAGTGTTCTTTTTTCTTTTTTTCCCCATTTGCTCTTTTTCATTGTATACCCAATGGTTAGTAATAATCATATTTCAGAATCAATATTAGGCTGCTTGGCCAAAAAAAATCTTGCCTTACTTTTTATGTTTAGCCACAGGCAAGTTTTTAGGACCAGGGCAAAAAGAAGCCACATTCTTTGCCAAATATCACAAGAATATTCTGTAGCCCAGATGCTAATGTTGTTTCTCTGGGAGCCTGAAGTCTCCATTGTCCTTGCTGCTCTCAGCACTGCTTGGATAACCCATTAAGTTCCACTTATGATGTTAAACTGTTTTTCTAATTCAAAGTTCCAAAGCCTCTACATTTCTCCAAAACTTGTATTATCAGGTGGGACACAGCAATACCCCACTCCTTGTACTCATTTCTGTTTTAGTTACTTTTCTTCTGTTGTGATAAAACACAATAACCAAAGCAATTTATAAAACACAGAAATTTGTTTGGGCTTATGTTTATAGAGGGTTGAGTCCATTACTTTCTTAGTTATTGTTCTATTGCTGTGAGGAGTCACCATGATTAAGACAACTTATAAAAAGAAGCATTTATTAGGCTTGCTTACAGTTTCGGAGGGTTAGTCCATGAACATGGCAGGCAGCATGGTAGCAGGTAAGGGAGCATGGCGTTGGAACAGTAGATGAGAGTTCACACCTGATCTACAAGTTGTAGGCAGAGGAACTTAGAATGGGCCTGGTATGAGCTTTTGAGACCTCAAAGCCCACCACCAGTGACACACTTTCTCCAACAAGGCTACACCCTCAATCCTCCCCATACAGTTCCACTAACTGGTGACCAAGTATTCAAATGTACGATCCTATGGGGGCAATTCTCATTTAGGCTACTGCAATTAAGCCATGGGGAAGCAGTCAGCATGGCAGGAGGCCTGGGGCCTGGACAGCAAACTGAGTACTTGCATATTTTCTTTTTGCATTTATTGGTTTAGAATTTTTTTCCTACAATGATTTTGGTCATACTTTCTCCATCCCCAACTACTCCAATGTTTCCCTACCCACCCTCCTTTTATGTTCTTTCCCTCCCTCCCTTCATTCCCCCACCATGTGTGTTGTACCCCCCCAAAAAAACCCGTGAAAATCAAAACAAATAAGTAAACAAACCAATCTGAAACAAACAAAAAAGCAAACCAAAACACAGTGTCTGTCCTGTGTTGGTCAACTGCTCTGGGGCATCAGGACTTCCCTGGAGAGTGGTTGATCCACTCGGGATCACTCCATTGGAGAAAACTGATTTTCAGTCTCCCAGGAGGGACCAATCACAAAAACGTCTTTAGGGATGGAATTTTGTTCACATGTTTCCTTCTCTCTGCTGGGATTTTGTCTGGCTTGCACTTGTGTGGGGTATTGTACATAATGTTAATGACTCTGTGTTCATAAATGTTCAGTTCTCTTTTCTTGGAGTCATCCACTGTGAAGGGAAACGAGTCACACTAAGGATGCCGGGAAAAGGTAGTTGGATTTTATTAAGATAGAGAGAAGTAACTTACTTGAGAAGCTGAGAACTGGGTCAGCGCTCTGTGGTCTCCGAACCCCGACTGTGATCCAAGAGAGCTCGAGAGCCCACACCTGTACCCTCTTTCATCCCTGATTCTTCCCAGGTACCTGTGACCACGCCCCCTTGTGTGGGGGCGTGGTCAGTGCTACGGAATGTGATCTCTCCCTTCAATCCACTACCTCAGGCTCTTACAGTGTTTCTGCTTCTTCTTACACCTACTGTTATCCAGGAGCTTGGAGGGGATTTGGTAAGATCATTCTGTTTAGGGTTGAGTGCTTCAAAGTCTCTCACTCTCAGCATATTAACATAAGGCTTATGTTAATTACCATCTACTTCACAAACAAGCTTCTCTGAAGAGAGTTCAAGAACTCACAATTTGAACCATGAACAGAGCATAGAGAGAGTGGCTCAAATGGCTTGGGTCTGTCCCCAGGGGGACATACCTTTACCAAGAAGATCATCTAAAACTCCCAAGCAGCACCACCATCTGGACCCAAGTGTTCAAATATCTGAGATTTTGGGCAGCATCTCATTCAAACTATCGCAATGTTTTTTGTTTTTTTGGTGTTTCGAGACAGGATTTCTCTGTGTTGTTTTGGAGGCTGTCCTGGAACTCGCTCTTGAACTCACAGAGATACTCCTGCCTCTGCCTCTTGAGTGCTGGGATTAAAGGCATGCCCCACCAATGTCCGTTTCACACAATGTGCTTTTAAAAATAAACATGTTTGTGTTTTTTAGCACGACAATTGCTTTCTGTTTCTCTGAGTGCCAGACTTACAATAAAAAAAAAAGAGTCTTAATGGACTTATTAAAGGTTTAAAAATTATATATGTCAATATGTCTAAGCTTTATATAACAGCTAGATGTTAAAGCATAGTTTACACTTTAGAACTGTTAAAACTGACCTTCTTGGTGTTCAACAACCACAATCAGAGATGAAACCAATAAGGGTACAAAAGCTGAAAGGACAGCTCATATTTTGACCTTTGTTTTGTATGTTTAGTCCCAGGGAATGAATGGGACCTCTTATCTTCTTGGTCATAGAGACCGTGGATACCTCATGGGTTGAACACTAGCCAGCATGTGTTGGAAATAGGAAGGCCAACACAGAAGAAAAGCCTGCCATGTTTCCAAGGGAGGTGTATGGCCATCAAGACTTTGACCCAAACTAGTGATGGCATAACTAGTAAGAAGACTAAAGGAATCAGGGGGTTTCTTCTAAGTTCCCTTAGTAACCCCCAAAGAACCTCAACTGTCTTTAAAAAGAGTTTTGGTTACCAACATGATCTTTAACACTTAGCAGAAAGTATAGTTTAAAAAAGTTTATAATAGTAAGACAAAGCAAAGAAACAAAAGTCTAGACTGTAAAAATAGACCGAAAAAACTTGTCTCATATCCCCATTAAATATTTCATAAGGGCAATCTCAAGAACTCTGGCTATGATACAAATTTAAGCTCTTCCACAGACCACCTGTGAACAGTGCAGAGGAATTAAAGTCAATTTCCAGATTCAACAGAACTAGGGGATTCCAGGTGAGTAGTGATAACCTTCATTAATGCTTTGGTTTACTACATTATTTTTCTTTTGACACTGTTGGCACTCAATGGCTACAGTTTTGCACTCTCTTCCTTTTAATGTATTCCATTAGATTTTTTTCTTAAAGTTGTTTTTTTCTATCTCATCAAATTAAACTTTCAATATGAGGTGCACTTAGAGCTTGTCAAAGGGTTGCAGATAAGCAGGACATGCTAGACCCCCTTCTTCCCTGGCTGGCAGGTGGTGTTCCCTTATCTCAGATCTCCAGGGTTGGAAAGCTGCAGGCTATGTGACTGGACCCACATCAGAAATGAAGGTGCTTTCAAGCTGGGGAGTAGTCATTAGATAAGGCTTTGCATCCTGAACCAGAAGGAAAGGGAACCTGGGAAAGGAGCCATGTTAGAAGGATGTGAAGATTGTAATTTTCTGGAGTACCAGCCTATGGGAGAAGGAGGGCAGGAATTTCTTGCAACTAGGGATTTAAAAAAAAAATTGTCTTGCCAGGTGTGGTAGTGCACAGTAAAAATCTGAGCACTTCGGAGGCAGCAGTAGAAGGATCTCTGTGAGTTCGAGGCCTGCCTAGTCTACATAGTTCTAAGACAGCTAGGCCTATGTAGAGACCTTGTCTCAAAACACCAAAACAGACAGACAGGAAAACAAAACAACAACAAAAAAAACCCAGTCTTGGGCCAAGTCAGCATGCCAGCATTCTGCCCTTTTTCTTTCTTCCTCTGCTGGAGTCCCTTTTTTGCAGAATGATATATTAAAAACTGCTTCACTTTCAGCAGTCTCTTCAGTTCATTAATGAGGGTCTTGTTTCCTCACTCTGCCTGGCCTGTCTTTGAATTACTGACTTGAGTCACCACCTCTGGCTCTAAGCTCCACTCTGTATATATCTGTGAACACAACTTTCTGAGAATCCTTTCCTTTGTCTGTGCTCTTTTTCAACAATGCAAATTATTTAGTATTTTTCTTTAATATGTATCTTTAGAGTCTTCCTCTGTTAAGCCAGTTTCTCTCAAGTCCCATGCCAACACAGTCTCAACAATGAATGATGTAGTATTTTTTGACAATAGAAATCTTTAGAGGGTCTGCTGTTAATCCAGTTTCCACTCAAGTACCAGCTGTCCTTCCTGTTGGTTTGAAATATTCTCAAAGCACCCAGTGACAAGTATGTTCAAGTGCTTTAAAACATCCAAGGAATGTTTGCTTCTTCCAAATTATAATGATCCCTGAACCAGCGTCTAGAAGCAAGAATATAAGTTCTCTGATGTCACCTCAGATCCATAGTTTGTGAAATCAACTGTATAACAAATCCAACTAGAGTTCCTGAAATCTTTTTAAAATGATAATCTTTGCTTTGATACTTGTAAACTCTTCCTCATTAGTTAGGGAAGTACTTTCTCGGGCTTACTAACATTTTATTGAATTCTAGTTACTTGGGGTTTTTATTTTATGGTTCATTGTTGCTCTACAAAACACAATTTGAAGTATGACCTGTTGATCCTGCTAACTGCCCTAAGGCCTTACCCAGTTAAGAGAGCTCCCCAAGGGCAGTGAAGAACAGCCAGGGCGAACAGCGCCCTCGGGCGTCTGAACATGAAGCTAACCCACCCTAGGCCTGTGGCACCCCAGCCGCGGCTTCCGGAAGGGGCGGAGCGCACGAGGGACGGCTTTCGGAGGAGGCGGAGCGAGCGGGGGGGGGCTTTCGGAGGGGGCGGAGCGAACGAGGCGGGGGGGGGCTTTCGGAGGGGCGGAGCGAACGAGGAGTCGCTTTCGAGAGGGGCGGAGCGTGCGAAGGGCGTCTTCCGGAGGGAATGGGCTCCGGAAGGGGAGGGGAGTGCGGGGGAGGGCCGCGAGTGTGGGAGATGTCTGGAGGTGGCCTCGCTGGCGGGTCCAAGGTACGCTGTAGCTGTGGAAGCAGAGTCCCGGGCGCGCGGCTCCGTGGGCTTCTCGTGGCTGGCCCTGGCCCAGTCTGCTTGGCACGCGCGGGCTGTGCCGGCCGGTCTGGGGCAGGCTGCCCTCCCTGCCCTCCCGCCGGGTCTGCGCCGAGCGGTCCCGGGAACCGAGCGCGTGGGTGGCAGACCGGGAGGACGGAGCGCGCTCTGGAAGGAGGGGTTAGCTGGAGTCTGGCAATTCATGTGTCTCGGTTTTACTCTGTTGCTTAACACACCAAGACAGCAGGTATCTTCCACCACACTTTGCTTTCCCGCCCAAACTTTCTGAGAGGAGTTGCTTCTCAGATGTGTCCACTGTAGGCGTGGCGTGCAGGAGCTGTACGTGGATGACATTTAAGTGAACGTTCCTTCTCTTCACTGCTCCGTCATTGTGTGCCTCTTGGATCACAGTTTGCCTTTTCAGAGTTCCTCACTTACAGTTGTTTGTTTCATAATACTCAAAATTTAAAACAGCAAGCGGTGGTCTGCCCTTCAGTTTTAGCTGAAAAACTTGCCGCAAAAATACCCCACACAAATGCCTCGACAGCCTTATCACTGCCAGTCTTTATTTCTCGAGTAGACCTGATAGACCACATTGAGAACTTTGTACCTGATTTAGGGACTTATGACTTAAAAACTAATTCAGTATCATAAAGATTAAAATGTGAAAAAAGGAATTACAACTTGGTATAAGACCTTTCTGAGAAGTAAAAAAATATAAATGTTTAGGTAATGGGATTTTACCCTGAAGAGAATATTGGTACCATAGGTCATATTTTCCTTTGCTTGGTAATTTTTTTCTGGATAGCTTTCCCTTCTTTAGATGTCTAAGGTCTTTTGATTTCTTTAAGGTGGGTGTCTCTAGTTTCCTGTAAACACAAAAACAGAACCCTGCCCCAACCCTTGAGAGTTTTCCTTACAACTTGTAGGATTGTCACCTCGGTGGATGAGCTATCAATTCTCCTTATCAAGTGGTTTCTCCTGTTTGAATTGAATCTTAATTATGATGGTATCCATAGCTTTTCTTCTTCTGTGGAAACAAAAGTGAAATCCCTTCTCCAACATAGCACATAGTCTGGTTTCCATTCTGAGGTCAACGTGTTTTTTAAGTACGCAGGCTGCTTTAACTCAGTCGTTTTCTCTATTGTCCACTGTGTCTCTGCAGCTGTTCCTTTTTCATTAGCATTAAGAAAGTTCAAGGTTAATAAGGCATTATGCAGTCTATCTCTGGGGGTCTTGGTTCCCCCTACCTGTTTATTAAGCATTTATTAAGAGTGTAATTAGATCTTTCAACAATTGCTTGCCCAGTAGGATTGGGTGGTATACCTGTAATATACGTGATATATAATATGCAAAAACTGTTTCATTGTACTAGAGACATATGCTGGAGAATTGTCATTCTTAATTTGTGCACGTATTCCCATGATGGCCATGACTTCTAATAAATCTGTAATTACAGAATCAGCTGTTTCAGAACTCAAAGCAGTTGCTCATTGAAATCCTAAATTGGTATCTCTGGTATGGTGCACATAGTTTGACTTTCCATATTCTGCAAAATGAAACAGCAAACAAAACAAACTGATATCTTAAACCAGATATTTCAAAGCAAAGAAACAAAAAAATGTTCAAACAAGCAGAACCCCAAACATATCTTAGAATAAACAAATGAAACATCTATCGTTAAGTGAGATCCAAGCCGCAGAAAGAACATCTTCCAGCTAAGTTAGCAGGCAGCTGGGCACAGAAAGCCCTGTGGTGGTATGTGCCCATCTGCTTGATCTAGTGAAAATGGATTGTTTTCTTGGGAGATATCAGTGCAGAAACAGCCTTTGCCTCACAAGAAAGTTATTCTTTGTTTTGTTTCCTGGGCCTTAAAATGAGTGACCATGCATGTTCAGGAAGATGAGTTCAGGATTCACAGAATACTATGTTTCAGAATAGTAGCAGTTTTTTTTTAATAGAAAAAGTACAAAAAAAATCGACAGCCCACCTGTAAGCCATAGTTAGATGTGTGTCTCAACTAGATGATGGGATAGACTTAGTAGACTTCCTGGAGGAGGCCTTACCCTCTCAGTGGAATAGAGGGGAGGACTAGGGGGCTGGGGTGGAGGGCAAGAGGGGGGTGGGAGGAGAGGAGGAAGGGGAAACTGGGATTTGAATGTAAATTAATAAAAAAAGAAAATATTTTCCATAACCTGGCAATAAGCTAAAGAAATTATATGTGTGTGTGTGTGTGTGTGTGTGCACACGTGTGTGGACTTAAAATTGTTTTTTCATCTGTTTCTCTTGACATTATTAGAAGTATGCATTTGTACTTAAATTCATTTTGCATTCATCTTTTTTCATGTTAAGAGTTATTTTTTGTTGTTGTTTTGTGTTTTTGTTTTTTGAGACAGGGTTTTTCTGTGGCTTTGGAGGCTGTCCTGGAACTAGCTCTTGTAAACCAGGCTGGTCTTGAACTCACAGAGATCCTTCTGCCTCTGCCTCCCAAGTGCTGGTATTAAAGACATGTGCCACCACCACCCGGCTTAGTTATTTAAATTTTATTCTGCTTTTTTCTAAAATTTTGTCATTTCATTGCTGAACAATATAACTTCATTTTGCCTTATATTGAAATATCAGCTAATGGTTTACAATTTTGTTTAATTGAAAATAGATTCTTCACTCTGATAATACATCCTTACCGAAGTTTCCCCTCCTTCCAGTCTTTCCAACTCTACCATCTTCCCTTTTCCCCAGATCCACTCCCCTCCTCTTCAGAAAAGATAAGTCTCCAAGAGACAATAGTCAAATAGACAAAACAAGATACAATAAGACAAGGCAAAAGTCCTAAAAAAAAAAAAGCTGGACAAAGCAACCTAACAGGAGGAGGAGTCCAAAGATCAGGTGAAAGAACAAAGAGATACACCTGCCCCCACTGTTAGTCCCACAGAAACACCAAGCTAACAGCTGTAACTTATATGCAGAGTACCTAGTGCAGATCCATGTAGGCCTAGTGCTTGCTGTGAGCTCTGTGAGACTGAGTGAGACTCTGTGAGCCCTGATTAGTTGATTCGGTGGGCCTTATTCTCCTATTCTGTCGCCCTCTCCTCCGCTGCTACATTCTTTCAGCCCCCTCTTCCATGGTGTTCTTTGATCTCCTGGGGAGGACCCAATGGAGACTTTCATTTTAGACTTTTCATATAATGTCTGGCTGTGGGTATCTGCACCACTCATTTACTGCTGGAGGAAGCCTCTCTGATGATGACTAGACAAGGCTCTGATTAATGACTATAACAAAATATCATTAGGAGTCATTTTTTGTTTTTCTAGTTGTATTTGGTTTTACCCTAGGTCTCTGGTCTATCCATTCTGTTTTGTGGCTTTTCAGGCAGTATAGGGCAAGGGCTCCCTCTCATGGTGGTGGGCTGAAGTTAAACCAAACACTGGTTGGCCACTCCCACAGTCGGCTCCACCATTGCCCTAGCACATCTTGCAGTTAGGACTGATTGTAGTTCAAGGGCTTTGTGGCTGGGTTGGTGTCAAGGTTTCTCTTCTTGTAGCCTGCAGAGTATGTTCTCTTGCCAAAGAGACTAGAACATAGGGATGAAGGCTCCATGCAGCTTGACCTCTACATGTTCCCTGTGCTGTGTGGATGTTGTCCTCAGCAATGCCTTCCACTGTCAGTTTTCAGAGAGCAGCTCTGTCCTAGAATCAGCCTGGGTTGTTTAGGGATCTCCTTGGGACTCCCTTGGCTGAAAACTTAACTGAATGCAACCCAGTCCTACTTGAAGCTTTGCCTGACTGTACAACATGTCCAGTTCAGACTCTGTATCCTGCATTTGTAGTAGGTCTCACTAGGGTCACCCTCATAGATCCCAGGAAGATTTCACTGCACAGGGTTTCCACACCATTTCGTCAGTGCTCCCTAATTCCAGCTGTCTCTCCCACACTCTGCCATAACCCTCACCTGACCCTTCTCACCCCAGTTCACTCAAAATTTATTCTGTCCCCCTCTACAGCAGGCTTCTTTACTGAACCTCTCTGCGTCTGTGGATTGTAGCTTGATTATTACCATCTACTTATAAGTGAGTACATACTATATTTGTCTTTCTGGGTCTGGGTTACCTCACTCAGGATAATTTCTTTTTATAGTTCTATCTACTTGCCTACAAATTTCATGATGCCACGATTTTTGTTTTTAAATGTTGAGTAGTACTCCATTGGGTAAATGTACCACATTTTCTTTATCCATTCTTTGGCTGAGGGGCATCTAGATTGTTTCTAGTTTCTGGCTATTATGGATAATGCTGCTATGAACATAGTTGAGCAAGCGTTCTTGTGAAAGGAAGGAGTGTCCTTTGGGTATGTGTCTAAGAGTGGAATTGCTGGATCTTGAGGTAGACTGACTCCTATTTTCCCGAGAAACCGCCATGCTGATTTCCAAAGTGTCTGTACACGTTTGCACTCTCACCAGCAGTGGAGGAGTGTTCCCCTTTCTCCAATCCTCTCCAGCATAAACCATTATTGGTGTTTTTGATCTTAGCTATTCTGACAGTTGTAAGATGGAATTTCAAAGTAGTTTTGATTTGCCTTTGCCTGATGGCTAAGGGTATTGCATGTTTCTTTGTTTCTCAGTCATTTGAGATTCCTCTATTGAGAATTCTCTACTTAGATCTGTACCCCACTTTTAAATCATATTATTTGTTTTTTGATATCTAATTTCTTGAGTTTTTATATTGGACATCAGCCTGATATCAGATGTCGAGATGGTAAAAATCTTTTCTCATTCTGTAGATTGCTGTTTGTCCTGTTGATGGTGTCCTTTGCCTTACAGAAGCTTTTCAAATTCATGAGGTCCCATTTGTTAATTGTTGATCTCAGTGCTTGCATTATTGGTGTTCTGTTCATAAAGTCATCTTATGTGCCAGTGTGTTCAAGGCTATTCCCTACTTTTTCTTCTATAAGGTGTCTGATTTTGTGTTGAGGTCTTTGACTCACTTAGACATGAGTTTTGGATCTATCTCCAGTCATCCAGTTTGACCAGCACCATTTTTTTGAAGATGCTTTCTTTTTTTCTATTTTATCTTTTTGGCTTCTTTATCAAAAACCAGATGTCCATAGGTGTGCAGATTTATGTCTGGGTCTTCAATTCAGTTCCATTGATCCATGTGTCAGTTTTTATGCTGGTACCATACAGTTTATTACTATAGCTCTGTAGTACAACTTGGAATCAGGAATGGTGATAACCTCCAGCAGTTCTTTTCTTGTTCAGGATTATTTTAGCTATCCTGGGTTTTTCCTTTTCTGTTTGTTTGTTTTTTGTTTTTGTTTTTTTCAAGACAGGGCCTCACACTATGTAGTTCTGGCTGTCCTGGAACTCACTATGTGGACCAGGTTGGACTTGTACTCAGAACTCACAGTGATCTGCTTTCCTCTACATTCTGAGTGCTGGGATTAAAGGTGTACATTATTACACATGACTTTTGTTTTGTCCTTTCAGAATCAGTAAAGAATTGTGTCACATTTTTGATTGGGATTTCATTGACTCTATAGATTGCTTTTGGTAGGATGGCCATTTTTACTATGTGAATCCTACCAATCCATGAGCATGGGAGATCTTTCCATCTTCTGACATCTTCTTTAATTTCTTAAATCCTGGAGAGATAAGAGATACAAGGGATATACCTAGTCATAATAAAGACAATTTACAGCAAGCCTATAGCCAACTTCAAATGGAGGGAAAGTCAAAACAATTTCACTAAAATAAGGAACAAGACAAGGTTGTCTATCTTTTCATATTTATTCAAAATAGTACTTGAAGTTTTAGTTAGAGCAATAAGACGGTGGAAGGAGATGAAGAGTATACAAATTGGAAAGGAAGAAGTCCAATTATTATTTGTAGATGATATGATAATATACATAAATGACCCCAAAAATTTCTCTAGGGAACTTCTACAACTGATAAACACCTTCATTGAAGTGGCTGGATACAAGATTAACTAAAACAAAACAAAACAAAACACCAGCACCAACAACAAAAAAACCAGTAACTTTCTTACGTACAAATGACAAATGGACTAAGAAAGAAATCAGGGAAACAGCATCCTTCATAATATTCTCAAATAATATAAAATATCTTGGGATAAGTAACAAAGCAAAACAAAAGGCTTGTATGATAAAAACTTCAAGTCTGGCTTACTATTTCTCTGTGGTGTGTCCTCATGTGTTTTTTTTGTATGTTGCCATATTCTTTTCCTTACTCTTTCCCCTCAATAATACCTGTATGGCATTTGGCTTCGATAATTCTTTTTTGTTGTTTACTTTTATAGAATAGTTTTTCTTAAATTTTAGAAAGAGGCAGGATTCAGGATAATTTGTGTACCTTATGCTATGTTCTTATGGATATCAAAATAAGGTCACTGGTTTCCTGTTATGTAGATGCTTCCTAGTACTGCTTTCTGCTTTGTCCCACTAGATACTTTTTTTTTTCTCTGTCACTCCTCTGTTGCTGAGTAGATTCCACTCCTGGTACTTTGTCCTCAGTGTGTGGCCTTATTCAGTAAGGGAGCTGTGTTAGATAGTTTGTCTCATGCTCCCCTTAGCCATTTTCGTCTTCAAAGGTCTTTGTCTAATGTAGTTGTAGTTTTCAGAACCACTTCCTTGTGACCAGTGATTGTCCATAAGTGAAGGGTTATTGCCTCCAGCTTCCCTGACTCCTTCCCTTCAGATATGGTCACAGACAGGATTTGTTGCCAGCAAGAAGGTAGATACATATAGTTAGTATAAGAAAAGTTTTATTTTTTTATGCTGAAGGTCATCATTCTAGGTCTACACTCTTAAATTCTTAATTACAGTCCTAAGCCTACCTCCCCAAAGCTGCTCACCTGTGTGAAGTATCTTAGCTGAAGTTCAGGTCCAGTCTCTTTAATAACAGAAGTCTGACTGGAGGGTCAGGATCCTGGGAGAGACTCTCCAGCTGCAGGGCAGGTCAAGGTGGTGTTTCTCCAGATATGCAGAGCAGAACTTTGCTCTTGGTCTATGCTTATAAACTGCCCAGTGGATGTCATGGAGTCTAGGATTGTGTCTGGTTATCAGGTGCAGCCTTGGGTATAGTGGGGATCCTGACTAAGCTATTTTTACATGTCTAAAAGGCTTTTTTTTAAAAAAACTATGCTTATTATAGGATTGTTGGTGGTTTGGCCTCACTCTTCCTTTGAAGTTTGTTGATCCATTATCAGTGGGGTTTTGGTTTTGCTACCTAGTTGGTATATCCATGTGAAGATTCAGAGGCATTCAAAAGCTGTTTTTACTGCCACTAATCCTGGGTTCTCAATTGCTAATTGTATTATAACAAAGTTGGTTTTCTTTTTTCTTTTTCTTTAAAAATCACTTCTGCAGAGGAAAAGGAATCGGTGTATAGAGCACCCATCCTTTCTAGAAGAGAGGCCACAACAGTCAAGAAGAACAAATGTGAAGACAAGGGAAGCAGCCACCTCTCTCTCTAAAGCATGGCTCAAGTGTGGAGAAGGATTTCAGGACACTTCTGAGACCCTGGTAGGAAAGCTATGGAGGAGTTTTTCATGATTGCAGGAGAACCTGGGCATCTAGCTATTGTAGCTAGTTTCTTTGGAACTCTCTTGTTTTCAAAGCACTACTTTTCTTTTTTCCTGCCTTGAGTTCCTCTAATAATTGTGTTGTCAGTATTTCCCTGCTTTGTCTCTGTAGAGTCTATTTGTTTGAAAATGAGGAATGCATACCCAGAGTGCTGATGGTATAAAATTATTGAGCATGCTACTGTTTATAAGAGTTCTATTTGTGGAGTGCCAGTTCAATTCCAGTTAATTTTTATATATCTTATAAATTACAGAGAAATGCTATCATAAACTAAAGATAACATGGTTATAGATAGTAATGAGTGGTTAGTCATATATGTGAGACATCATTAATATTGACTATTAATTATTTCAACAGCTTAGCTTAGTGTCTAGAAAATATGTAAATAATTTGTGTGTCTGTGAGGACTACATGTTTTGGCAATACTCAATTGATGCATAAAAAAGAAAAGCAGAAGAGTATGTCAAGAAGAGTATCATTTAATCTCGAATATTCTACACAATTGTATTGGTGTTTAGCCTTTTCCACATGAATCATATGTTAAATTATTTTTGTTATTATTTTGTCTGCAGTCATTAGCAAGTGAAAAGACAGTTACTACTGAAAAGCCCCTGGAATTATCTTCAAGCCCAAAGAAAGGTAACAATGTTGTATTGATTTTTTTTTTATTTTTGAAAAATTTTTTACAACCCCCCCCCGCTATAGAGAAAGTCCTTAGATTTGTAGGCAAGCATTCTACCACTAAACTAAAGTCCCAACCCCTAATATGTTGCTTTATTGACAGATGAGGCTTAAGGCTATTTTTCTGTGATTTTTTTTTTTCATCCTTTTAAGATGCTATACAGTTTGGATAGTTTGTATATTCAGGGTTAGCAATGTAAAAGGTATTTTTGAGAGCTTGTCTTTTATCTCTATCATAATCTACTGTTCTTTCTGGTTCTGCTGGTGACTGCTAACATTTTGGTGTCCTTACTGGGTTTACTTTAATCATGGAATCCAGTGCCTTTCATGGGGTTACCTAAGACCATTGAAAAACCAGATATATACATTATGATTTATAACAGTAGCAAAAATTACACTTATGAAGTAACAATGAAAATACTTTTATGCTTGGGGGTCCCTATGACATGAAGAACTAACTGTTTTAAAGGGTCTCAGCATTAGGAAGGTTGAGAACCATTTGATTTAATAAGATAGCTCAGGTTTAGAATTTCAGGAAAATAATGAGTAAATAAATAACCAAATGGTCTGGTTTGAATTCTGATACCATAAAAATGCTCATATGGAGAATAAACATGATTTACAGTGTAGGGGCCACAGCTGCAGTGATTTTTGCTTGGTGCTTTAGTTATGGACACTTTCTAACTACAAATACAAGGAAACTCTGTTCACAAAAACTGTGGGTTGATGTTACCTCCTGCAATAAGACATTCATAGAGTCCAGCTATTTTGAGCCCTGTAATGTTAATATGGGATTGGTTCTCCTGGGTGAAAGGTGGTAGGTTGGTATTTTAGGCCAAATTCTTGAGGAAACTTTTTTATTCAGTGAACTTTGCTTTCTTTGGGAAGATAAACCTTTTCCAGGACTGTCACATGATTACCAGTTATTTCCACTAAAGATGGTGTGATGAAGGTAGGGATTTCTATACATAAATATTGCTGCTAGTAAAATTAAAGGGTAGTAATGGAGAAGAGTGGGAATATATAACAGGTAGTCAACTGACTTTGTTGCTATCATCATCCCATCTCTCTGTAGATGGATTAGACGAGTGAAATCTTGTGACGTCAGAGGTCTTTCTGCTTTCACTGATCTTGGGAAAACAAGTAAATGCTCAGATCTCAGATTCTGCATCTGGGAAATGGGCATAAGATTGTGAGTTTTCTTGGTCATTTTATTAGGTGAGCTAGGAAGATAGATAAAATTCCCAGTTCAAAGGTACTCAGTGGATGCCAACAGTTGGTGTTGTGGCTGATGCCATACAGAACTGTGTGTGGGCTTGCCAGAATTCTATATTGTGGAGTACTTTCTATGATCCAGAGACTAACCATTCTAAGCCTTATTATCATTTCATTTCCCTTCACAGGTTTCTTCCCCCAACCCCACTTTGAGACAGGGTCTCATGTAACTCACACTGATATTGAACTTGCTGTTCAACTGAGGCTGATACTCTTGCCTCTACCTCCTGAGTGCTAGGAAAGCAGGAATGTGCCACTGTGCTCATTAGAGAATGCTGGGGATTTGAACTCATGGTTTCACACACACTACACAAGCCTTCTAACAATCTGGCTACTTCCATAGCCTGTGTTCTTTTTCTATGCAAATGAAAAATAAAATATCCCGAAATGTTCCCATAAAATTTATACAACACTGTCTTATACAGTAAACCAGCAGACATCTTTTTGAAATAGCTGATAATAGTATAGAATTATGTATTTCTTTTTATTAGTGCCAAAAGCTCTTATATTTGTATCAATTTATGTTTAATTTTTAAAATATAAGGAAAAAGGTATATTTCTTTAAATAAACATAGTTTATGTATTTTTCTGGAGTTGTATATTTAGCTTTGGGAGAAAACTAAGTATTAAATAAATTGCTACTTCTATTTAATTACAGAAGGTTCTTTTGATATGATTTTTTTCAGACCAGAACATATCTGACTCACAGTATTGTTTCTTATTATACAGGTGATATACAGTAGATTTTGAAAGGCTCAAAGAGTTTGTACCAGAGTACTCTGTTTATCACATGGCTTTAGCTAAGCCAAGATAAAGATATAAAGAGACTTAGGAAAGAGGTCAATGGGAAAAGATATGTAAAGCTTTTCCTAGAACTGATTCATTTTTAAAATAGCTCCTAAAATTCGTTTAAAGTAGCCTATTAGTAAGAAACCAAGATAAAGTTTCAAACAAAAACAATCCTCCAAAATGAAAATAATACAAACAAAAAACACAACCACATTTATTTAGTAGGTAGAGGAGCAAATATTTTTATAGGAGCTGGAATATGTAAGTAAGGAACATATTTTTGCAAACAGTATTTAGGGTCTGAGGCCCGTGTCCATGACTATCTCTTTCTGTTTTAATTTGTCTTTTATAACTTATTTAAACTCCAACTTTTGCCCTTGGCTTTAATTCAGAGAATCTGTGGGGGACTGTTCATGGACCATTGTGTAAGAAGATGTAATACAACATTGTTTTCATTGTCCTTGGAGTTTTTGTGCTTTGTCTAAATAATATGCATAAAATCTCATTCTGATAACAATTGTCAGCTGACATTTGTCTTTTCTTCTTCTGGAGCAGAAACAGCAGGTGACAGTCCTGGTGAACTGGCAGATATAACATGGAGTTCTAGTGGAAGTGATTTCTCAGATGAAGATAAGGCCCTCCCTCAACTTCAGAGAGATGGTGGGCGTGGCTGCAGAGTAGGGTTTTGTAGCAGCACTGTTTCATGTCCAGAAGATGGAGCCACTGAAGGTAAGTTGCTAGTTTTGTGAGAAGTCCAGTTTCTCTTAAATATTGGGTTCAGTAGTAGTAGAAACTTAATTCGCTTTATATATTTGTGACTTTACTGAGTTATATACCCTGTATATTTTTAAATATATTTCTCATAACAACTTTAAGAAATAGATATTATAGTGGCTTCTCATTTTGTTTTTACTTTCTTTTTTTTGAAATAGAGTGTGTACAGCTTGGGCTTGCCTTGAACCTGAAATCCTCTTGTGTTTGCCTCTCATGTGTTGTGATTACAAAGTTGAACCTCTTTGTGGCCTGTCCTTACTGTGTTTTCTGTTTTGTTCTGTTTTATTGCAGTTCATATATTAGGTTTGATTTGCTCAGATTTAGTTGAAATTCTATTTTTACTTCTAATTCCTAAGTTCTCCTAATTCCCGAAGCAATACTGCACCCATGCTTCCTCCTGGCTAACTTGTTGCTAATGAATAAATACTACACGAATATGGTAGAGGTGTAACTTAGTAATAAATTTCAGTTATTATAACACTTTATAGTGTATCGTGTTTATGTTAAAACAAGTTTCTCAAAATTAGCACTATTGCTTTCAAAATAAGTTTGTTGTTTTAGCTCTGATAGTTCATGTTAGTTATTCCATCAAAGTTTGCTCAGACATCTTCTCTGGAAAGCGTTTAAAATCCATTGACTGCTTTTAATGCCATTCTGGCAATTGCCACTGACATTTTAGTAGTTATCTGATAAGGTAGTATTTTATATTATGTGTAAACTGATAATTCTTGTGTTAGTAATTCAGTTTTGTTGACTAGAACTCACTGTGGTATGACTCTTGTCTAATCTTTTGCATAATTCAGAACAGGTTTCCATATTAAAAACTGTGCTTTATATTAATTATATATTAATGAACCTGCTGTTTAAAACATGGCTGTTCTTTTCTACTGAAAGCAATATTCGGTAGGTTCCAACATTATATTTATAAATGGAAACATGCTCTGGACTAACTACTTATATTTTATTTTATTTTTTTTGAGACAGGGTTTCTCTGTAACAGCCCTAACTGTCCTGGAACTAACTCTGTAGACCAGGTCGTCCTCAAACTCACAGAGATCCACCTGCCTCTGCCTCCCGAGTGCTGGGATTAAAGGTGTGTGCCACCAACGCCTGGCTGGGCTAATTATTTAAAATGATTTAACCATCTGATACTTAAGAGACTGGGAAATAAGATAGTTGTGAATTCACAGCCAGCTTGGCTTACATCTGGAGTTCCAACCCATGCTTGCTTCCTTATTGAGATCTTGTTCCAGAAAACAAAAAATTAGGAGTTGGGAAATGACCTTATCACTAAATGTTGCTGCACAGGCTTGAGGACCTGATCTTGATCCCTAGTAGCCATGTAAAAGGAAAAAGGCTGGGTACAGTATGCACCAGTACTGGAACGGGAGAGAAAGGAGAGAAAGGAGATCCCTAGTATGGACTTACAGCCAGGTAGTCAAATCATCCCCTTAAAAAGAGATCCTATCTCATCATATAAGGTTGAAAGTGATGTAGGAAGATATCTGACAGACTCTGGCTTTGCACACACATACATGCAAGTATATGTGCATCCTTACATACTAACTAATAAATTAGAAACTAGAATACTTAAAAAAGTGAGATTGTTTAACATGTTATTGCCTTTTCATATAAAGTTGATCCCTGGGTAGTAAAGAGTATTTGAAGCCGGGCTCCCTCTTTCCGTTCTCCTTCTCCCTGTTCTTTTAGTGGATGAAAAATTCTATAGTTATCAAGATTTTATTGTGTTTAAGACACAAAGCTGGGTGTTAAGTATGTTATTTCCTTTTATACATGCTCTATCTCATGAACTAAGAATTATTTTCATTTTATAAAAGAAGATTGGGACTTATTAAAGGTCATGTGAAGAGAGGCACATTTATAAGTGCTCCAATTGATAATTCAGACATAGGGATGCCTCTGTTTAATTGTATATTGGTTGCCAAATCTTTCTTCATTTCTTGTACAAATACTATCACAGACCTAGGATTAGGGTTTCTCGATTACAGGGCCCGGAATTGGGTTTAAGATGGAAGAACTCTAAGTTAAAATTGTCAAAATATTTTTTTTCTTAAAAATTCCTCTTGTGAACTGGGCATTGGTGGCTCATGCCTTTAATCCCAGCACTCAGGAGGCAGAGGCAGGCAGATGTCTGTAGTTCGAGGTCAGCCTGGTCTATAGAGCAAGTTCCAGGACAGCCTACAAAACAATACAGAGAAACTCTGTCTTGAAAAAAAAAAACAACAACAAAATTTCCTCTTGTTGGGCTTGAGGAGGTAGTTCAGTTGGTAAACAAGGTTTGAGTTCAACACCTAGAACCTGTGGTTTTAAAGTCACATGCCCCGTGTGGTGACATACTTTTAATCCCGGCCCTTGGGAGGATCTGTGAGTCTGAGGCCACCTGGTCTCCTGGTCTATATAGCATCTTCCAGGTCAGCCAGGGCTGTACTGTGAAGACCTATAAACAAAGCCATACAAAGCAGAAACCAGGAATCTCAACACTAGGGAGGCAGCTAGGCAGATCCCAGGGGCTCAATGGAGGGAAGGCCTGGCTTTCTTAGTAAATTACATGTCAGTGAGAGACCCGATCTCAAAAACTATGTAGGGCAACACCCAGGGAACAGTGCCCAAGCTTGACTTTGATCTGCACATGCACATAGACATATGTACACACATGGACATATACCCAAATAATTCTGTGTTTTAGAATTTTTGCAAAGCCCCTTAGCTTATTGGAGACCCAGTCTTCATTTGTAAAGTGCATGGGATTACTATGGTTAGTCATTAAATCTCCATTTTGTTTCTGTTCTATCATTCGATTTCACTCAAAGTAGATCCCATTGTCTTTCTTTCTCTATTTTGACTGTTTACATCTGGTTTAGTATGACAGATCCTTCTAAGACACTCATTCTGTTGAGTGAAAATGAGAGTTTGTAATGGGTACTCCACAGGTGTGTGGTGCTTGTGGCAGCTCTGCGTGCATGTGTGTGTGTGTGTGTGTGTGTGTGTGTCTGGCTCACTACCATTTCCTGCTGTGATAATGCAGCCTCTTAGAGAATTTGCTGGGCACTACCCTGCCTGGCTTCGTATCTAAATACGCACTGAGACATGGCAAGTAAAGGTCTGCTTTTTCAGTGGTGGTTTATTCTCTGTTTTTTTGTAATTAGCATGGTGGACTTTTACCGTCTCTTCTCAGACCTTACGAGACTAAAAATGTTATTTGTTTGTTTGTTTTTTGTTTATTTATTTGTTTTTTTTTTTGAGGCAGGGTTTCACTGTGTAACAGCCCTGCCTGTCCTGGAACTCATTATGTAGACCAGGCTGGCCTTGAACTCACAGAGATCCATCTGTCTCTGCTTTCCAAGTGGTGGGATTAAAAGCGTGTTCCATTAAGTTAAGAAATTTATTTTTCAGATTTATTTTTCTTTTATGCATATGGGTATTTTCCTTCATGCATGTTTGTGCACCACATGCATGGAACCCAGAAGAGAGCGCTGGATTCCCATGGGAACAGGAATCATAGACTTTTTTTGTGGGTTCCAGGAATTGACCCTGGGTTCTCTTCAGAAGTAGTCAGTGCTCCTAACTACTGAGCCATCTCTGTAGTCTCGAAAAAGTTATTTCAAACAACGGGCTATATAAATACACCGTGATTCGTTGATGCCCTAGATTACTGAATTATGTAGAAGCAAGAGGCAGCTTTCTGTTATTGATGAGGGGTCTCTTCTTTATCTTAATTAAAAAAAATCAGGATGTGTAAGAAAAGAGAAATAGTATGAATTTTATTTTCTTGAGCATGCTGAAGAAACTGCAAGGATTCAAAAACAAATCTTATATCTGAGTTGGGGGTGAGAATTGGGAGACACAGTGACCAGAGACGAGAGCGGGAGTGCAATGTGCTCTTGGGGTGTTTGTGAATATCATCCAGTGCTATGGGTATATCAACCACTGAGATTAACTTTTGTAAGATAAATAATAAGGGGATATAAAATTAACAAAGTTAAAAACATATTTTTTAGATGAATTACAGGTTATTGACTGGGAGATTAACAGTGACATGGACGATCCTTCCGGGCCAAGTGAGTGTGAAGATGGCGAAGGGGCCGTGGAGATTTCCGATTGTGCTTCTTGTACGAGTGGTCATTCTTTGACAGATGATGACAGGCTCTGTGAACCCCCCAAGGTAAGAATAAATAGTGTAAAAACCTTTTATTCTCCTTATGACATTGGGTGATTGTAGCTCTTTTGTTCACCAAATCTTAACCTCACCTTCTCAGGGCAGTCCCTTTAACTCTTACTAGAGTGTTTTGTTCCTCATGCTCGTCTCTAAAGTGACAGGGTTTTCCTACCCTCAGCTCACATTCATCCATCTCTCTTCCTTGTGCTGTCCTTGTTGTCTCCCAGTACAGACGTATTGAGGTTTGTGTCTGGTATCCGACATTTTCGCAATTGTGAATCAATAATATTGATGACCAAGGCTACTATTGTTTCTTTCATAGCTTTTTTTTTTGTTAGTTTTCCTTGGGCATACTATTATTTCTTCACTTAACCTAATTTAATGCTAGTAATTAATTTTTCACTGTTGTTTGTTTCTGTTATTAAGCTGTTTAGACACAGTTGGGCATTTTATCCCTTCTATTTTCTTAGAGAACTCTATCCTACAACCTCCTAGCCACTCCAGTTTGAATATAGTATTCTTACTAGTTGTAGATGTTGTCACCTTGGGGTCTCCCTCATCATTTGTGTTAGTTATTGTTTCATAGCTGTGTCAGATCCCAGGTAACAACTTCAGAGAGGAAGTGTTATTTGGATTCCCCATCTTTAACTTGTGTGGCCTCATCGTTGGCAGAAATGTTTGGTGAGTGTCACATAATAACAGAGACGGGCAGAAAGGGCTAGCTGCCTGGTGTCACCTTAGGAAGCATGGCCCTAGTCACCTGCTTCCTTCAGCTAGATTTAACACTAGATATTTCAGAATCCCACAAAATAGTGTTTGCAGAGGGGACATGTGTGCTCCACAGAGCCTGCAGAGGGTTTTCCTACTCAGATGCTATCACTAGCATTCCAGGAATTTATTTATGAACCATAATCCTGTGTGGAGCTCTATGTCCTCCTGTACTTAGACATTTTCTTAGCTTTCATCCTCATTTTGGTTAGATACATTTGTCAGTAGACTCAGAGAAAAGATTCATAGAAGACAGTTGCTTGAGATGGGGCATGTCTGAAAATGTCAGCAGTATGGTGACGTACATCTGTAATTCCAGCATGGAGGAGGCTGAGGCATGAGGATTTATGAGTTTGAGGCCAGTTTGGGTACATAGTTTGAGAGATGTAGATGGGGAGGGGAAAGAGGGACAAGGGCAGGAGGAGGGGATACTTTTGTAATATATTTATATTACATGTGACTGAAAACTTGCATAGACTTTTAGGCTGGAAATGGTTTTCTTTTAAAGCTTTAAAAACATGTCTTTATTTTCTTGTTTTTCAAGTTATTATCAACAAGCCTGAAGTAGTCTCATTCTTGATCTTTTAAGATTTCTTTATTGCTGGTTTTAGACAGTTTGACTGTGGTATGCCTTGGTAGGGTGTTCTGTTTGGTATTTGTCAAGATGCTGGTGAACGCAATGGATGTGTTTGAGGAATCTTCAATAAGTTTGTTTTCTTTTGTATTTTGGGGGAGACATTTATGCTGGTAACTTTATGTATGCCAGGCTAATACCACTGTGCCACTGAGGTGTGTGATCCTTAGCATGATTTTATAATGGTTGTTTAAACATGTGACATGATATCTCATTGAGTTTTTTGTAAAAAACAAAACATTTATTATTTGATTACTGAGTGCGCGCGTACGTGTGTGTGTGTGTGTGTGTGCGCGTGCACATGCTTGTGGGTGCTCACAGAGGCCAGAAGAGGTCATCCAGTGTGCTGGAAACCAAATACTGGTCCTCTGAAAGAGCAGTGAGTACTCTTTATTATGGAGTCATTTCTCCAGCTTTTCATTAGGATTTTAATTTGCATTTCCTTGAAGTCTATTGGGGATGTTTACTTTAGGTCATTTGTGTCTTCTTACAGTATTAAGGCTTCTAAAACAAAACAAAACACCCCAAATACAAAGACCACCCCCAGATAAAACTACCCTGTAACCCAGCAAACATACATCTGGGTATGTATGCAAAGGGATTGAATCAGTGTGATGAAGATTTATCTGTACTCCTGTTGTCCTTGTTTGCTTTCCTTTGTGTTGCTGTGAAAAACTGACCAAAGGCAACTTGGGAGAGGAAGAGGAGTCAAGGCAGGAATTCAAGGGAGGAACATGGGCAGAAACCACTGAGAAATGCTACTTAATGGGCTGTTCCCCTGGCTTACTTGACAAACTTTGCTATATAATCCAGGTCCACGTGCTTAGGAATGACATCCCCTAGATTGGACTGGACCTCCCTCTTTTTTTTTTTTTTTTTTTTTTTTTTGGTTTTTACGAGACAGGGTATCTCTGTATTGTTTTGGAGGCTGTCGGTCCAGCCCGGCCTCGAACTCACAGAGATCCGCCTGCCTCTGCCTCCCGAGTGCTGGGATTAAAGGCGTGCGCCACCACCGCCCGGCTGGACCTCCCTTAATTAGCAATTAAGAAAATGCCCCACAGACATGCTCAGAATTCAGTCTGGTGAATCCAATTCTTAAATTGAGATTCCCTCTTCCAAGGTATGCCTAGTCTTGTGGCAAGTTGTCAAAAACCATGACACTCATGTTACTGCAGAATTATTCATCACAGCAAGATGTTGAAGCAACCTAGATGTCCAGACCTGAAAGAAATGGGTAGATGAAATATGTTATATGTGTGATGAATACTTTTCATCCTATAAGAAGAAAGGAATTCTGACATTTGTAGCAATATTGGTGAGCTTAGAGGACATCTGCTAACTAAAATAAATCAGATACATATAAAGGCAAAACAGGGTTAGTATCCTTTATTTGGGGTTGTTTTAGATAAAATGTATTTTAGATTTTACAGCTTTTGGACTATTTGCATACATATAATGAATTATCTTGGATATGGGAACAAAGTCTAACCATGAGTTCAGTTATGCTTGGTATATAACTGTGTAACAAGGACCCAAGGAAATTTATACAATGCTTCCACACATAAGATCAAGTATACATTTTTCACTTGGGGTGTCCTATCAGTTACTCAGAAAATTCAGATTTTGGAATTTGTAGCTTTGAATTAGGGATGTTCAACCTGTATCACTATCGGGCACCTTGGGAAGGATTGATATTAGGTATATTTTTATTAATTTTTTTGAGACAAGGTCTCACTATGTAGCTCTGGTTGGCCTGGAACTTACTGTGAAGACCAGTTGGCCTCAGACTCAGAGGTTCATCTGTGTCTGCCTCCCAAGTGCTGGGATTAAAAGTGTACACCACCAAACCTGGGTTGATGTTAATTCTCAGAACATTGGTAGAATTTGTCATAGAAGCCATAGTCCTGGGCTTTTCTTTGATGGTGTTTGTTTTTACTTGCTGAATCACCTTCCTTACTTGCTGATCAGTAGAGACTTTGTTTTTTCATGATTCAGTGTTGGTAGGTTGTGAACTTTTATGAAGTTATCCATTTCTTTTGAGTTTTGACTAGTGGTCTAGTGTTCAATTCTTCATAGAGTCAGTTTTCTTCTTGTTTATGTGGTCTGCTGTAATGGCTCCTCTCTCATTCTTTATCCTTAGTATTTCCATTTCTTCAGTTCCTCTCCCCTCCCCTGAACAGAAGCCAAAAGCATCAGCAGCTTGGTTTGGCTGCTCCTTCCTTCTGCTTTTCTAGCCGATTTTACTTGTTTCATCATATTTTTTTATTTCCTTTCTTCTATTCATTTTGGGCTTGCTTTTTTTTAAACTTTACATTTTTAGTTCCTTGAGGTATGTATTATGTTGTCTCTCTGATCTTCCTTTTTCTTTCCTTGTTGGCATAGCATCAAACCCAGGGCTACCTGTGCTAGGTAAGTGCTTTCACTGAGCCTGCTTCCAGCCTGATCTTCATTTTGCTTTTCTTTCTTCTTCTTGCAAAAAGTTTCTTTTGTTGAGATAAGGTCTCAGTGCCCTGGGACTTGCTTTATTCAGTCTGACCTCAGACTTGCCGTTTTCTTTGTCTGTATCCTCAGTGTTTAGGATACACACATCACTATAACATGACACTTGTCGGTGACTGCTGCTCCTCTTCTCTAACCCCTACACCCACCTCCTTCCTTTTCCTTTCTGCTCTTCTTTTCATATTTTTTTTCTTGTTCTTTGGCTTCCTTCATCCCCGTCACAGGTTTTCATTGAATCCCAGGCTGGTCTCAAAATCTCAATGTTTCCTTCTAGTGTTGGTATCATAACTACAAGCCAGCTCTTTGGCTAGCCAGCTTGCCTGCCTGCTTTCTTTTCCTTCCTTCCTTCCTTTCTCTCTTTCCCTTTTCCTTTTATCCCCACTTTCTCTTGTTTGTGTAGCACTTACTATGTTTAGTGTGGGTATGTGTCAGGTGGTAGGTGTGTGCATGCCGGGTGCTTGTATGCAGGTCAGAGGATAAGATGGTACTTGTCTCTGCTGGCACCATGTGTGCTCTCTGATTGACTTCAGGTGGACAGGTTTGGTAGCAAGCACTTTGCTCTGTGAGCAATCTCTGACCTTATTTGTTTTTGCTTTGTGATTTCTGTATTTACTGCTATGAAGTAGGGTTTTGTTTGTTTGTTTGTTTGTTTGATGACTTATACATTTTGTTTCCATTTTTGTCTTAGATTTTAGTTCCAAGTTTCCTTTGGCCCATTCTGGAGTCTGTTGTTTAATTTTCATATATTTGTGACTTTTCTCTGGTTTTTCCTAATACTTATTTCTACTTTCATCATAGCTTCAAAATATACTTGAATATAATATAATTTTTCTTGTGTTTAAGACCTTTTGTTGCCTAATGTATATACTTGAGTGCATTCTGCTGTGTAAAGTATAAAGTACTCTATTTCTCAGAATTCTTTTACCACCTGTAGTTCCTATAGCTAGGTTGAGGCCTTCAGAGCACTTCCCTTCCACATTAATGTTATCCTTCCTCACTGGTTTCTTCCTTGTTTGAGTCATCTTTAGGCAGCTGTGTTGGTGAGACTTCATGGGTTTAGCTTTTCAGTCTCCCAGCAAACTCCCTGATCCTCTGGCTCTTACAG